CAGTTATACAAGAGGCACAGGTAGGAGGATCATGAACCAAGGCCAGATCTGGGTGGGTGGGTGGGGAATCACAAGATCCTATCCGAAAAATAACTAGAGTTAAAAAGGACTGGGAGAGGGCATGCATGCTTGCCCAGCAAGTGTGAAGTCGAGTTCAAACCCCAATATCTACTTACCCCCCCCAAAAAGGTCCTCCACACATTTTTATCCCCTTTACTGATCCAGATTGTGTACAAAATGCAGTCCTTCCACAAGTGTTTGAAAGTTTTTATTGGTTACAGTTATATAAAATTTATCTTTTGAATTCTCCCCTACTTATTAGGTGTGCAGTAACAACATAAATCATCTTTTTTATACACCTGACAAGCCAAGGATGCTTGCAGGGGAATGTAGCAGACAGCACTACAATAAGCTCCTCTGTCTCTTCCCTCGTCACTCAAGGCTACATTGGTTAAAATCAATGAACAACCTCTTTTGTATGTCAAATTGTAAATTTTAATGTTTTCATTAGAATAGTCTTTTATAGCACTCTCCAACAAGAAGTAATAAAATAACTAACAGCAAACTTCAATTACAGGAATACTCTCCAGATTAACAATTGCAAATAAAAATGTAAAATGTAAATCACATATAATACAATTGAAGCATCCAAAACAATTTAAATAATTTTAAATATTTTATTTTTAAACCGCTACAAATGCTTTATACAATATTCCAACATAAAGTCCCCATAACAGAAATGTAACAAAATGGGAATGATAGTGAAAGGGTTAAAGTGGCACAAATTCACCAAACAAGTATTTAACTAACAATTTTTAAGAGGTAGATTACTTTTAAAGTTGAGAACAAAAAAAACAGTATGAATAAAATGTAGCCATTTTCCACCAACTCGGTCATTAATTTGGGGGGAGGAGTAAAAACACATGGAGAAATGATACTGATATACTTAGGAAGAGGCCAATGCACTGTCTTTGATCTCTTTAGAGACTAAAAGTGTAGAACCGGGTACATAAATTCATTTATACTTACATGCAGACACCCATCTATACAGGCTGCGATGCATTCTGTGCATTGACATATTGCTATGTAGTCTCTCGTCATATAATAGCTATAAATTAGTGCCAGAGAATTATCTGAGAGGATCATGTCCACTTGGATATATACACATGACACTGGAAGAAGCATTTTAAAAAGGTCTATATCCACTCTGGTTTCCTCTCCATTATCCTGGCAATCTGCTTGTGATTTTAATAAAAAAAAAAAAAAAAAAAAAAAAGAGGGTGAGGGTGTGTGCAGGGAAAGAGATCAGCTAAATGCCTCTCTCTATAATTCACGTAAAAGAAAGGCATCAAGAGCTGGTGTGTGAACAAACATTTTAAAATGAGTGCATCTGATCTGTCATCCCTGAAATCTACAATAAACTATTGATAAGAGAACTTGCTTTGCAAGGTTAAGTTCAATCATTCCCTTCTCTGCTATGTGCCAAAAACAAGGGCCACACTCTGATCTGAGTTGCCAGTCCTGTGATGAGGAGCCAGTTCATCTAGCCCGTCTTACAGCGCCCTTCTCTTTGGATCTCAATCCCCCGGGAGCCCAGCACGCGTGTGGGCACCACCGAAGAAGCAGATGCCTGACTCTACCAGGGCAACAAGCCTGCCGGCAAGCAGCTGTCTTACGACTTTTGAGTCAGCTTCAACTGGTCTTGCAAGCTTGGTAGATTTCGCATCCTTTGACGTAGTGCTTATCCTAAGTTGAGCATGCAATATCTTTTAGTCAATTAAGATTTGTTTGGGGGGCTTTTCTACAGGAAGTTCCTAGAAAATAAGAAAACTGAAGATAAATGACAACATAACATAACCTTGTATGAATTGACCATGTTAAAAGAAAAAGGTGAAGAGACCATACAACAAATGTTATCAAGACAGGAACACATAAATGACTCTGAAGGCATTTAGGAACTCATTGTCCCACTCCAAAAACACAGGCTGACAACATTTGGTCTATCATTTTATCTAGTTTCTCTATCTTTCAATTTTCTGGACTGGTTGCAACAAGGGCTCCATATAAAAACACTGCTTTAAGAGTATACCGAATGGAAAAAAGTACCTTGGGATTTATTTACAGGGGTGGAAAAGTGTAAGTGGCAAGTGGAGAAAGTAGCTTTTCCTTTTCTCCTAGTGTCTTACTGAACCCATGGAAACAAAACTTCAGCACCAGATCCTAATTCGGCACTACCAAGAAGCCCCAGGTAGGCTGTGAACAACAGTAACTGGGGCAGACCACAACCTGCTTTCGTTTGTGGCTCTGTCCTAAGGAAAGGGTCTGGAGCACTCTGAATTTGTGCACCCTCCATGGTACAAAGGCTGGTGCTACAGGAAGTAACCAACTAACCAAGTGTGCAGAACCCTCTGTTGAATGGAAAACTCTGGCTCCACTCATATGGCTGGTGGCAAGCATGTACCTGAAAAACTGTGGAACATTACACTGGCTCTCAAATGTAAACTGTCTGGAGTGCTGGGGACCAGTTCATAATCACAACTTATTATTTAAAAGAAGTAAACAGGAAAAGGATGGGCTGCCAGTTCCAGGAGAAGACCCTAGCACACACAGAGCAAGGAAGGCAAAACCAGCAAACACAGAGCAAGAGCAGGTATTTCTTGGCATACAGCAGATGCCCCACATCACAAAATCATCTCTAAACAAAATTTAGAAGTAGAAATGTACTGAAGCAGGAAGGCAGCTACAAGTGAAACAATGCTGTACTGGTATAACACAACAAACGTGCTGACAATAAGACCCACTCTAGATCAGCTCTGGGTGACATGTCAATGACACTCACCACATATATGCCCCAGGTCTGAGGTTAGGAATTCCAGTTTTGTACAATGTTTGCTACAAGGTACTAAGAATATCAGCATAAACTCTGAAGAAATGCCTAATCTTGTGTCCAGATAGCCAAAATATGATGTCGTTTTGAACATTTGTTTTTCAATTCCCCAAAACACTTCATGAGGTTATGGTCACTTGTCAAGTACCCTGCAGATGTGTCCCCAGCAGAGTTCCAGTGACTAACAAGGGGGAAGGAGCAGCTACCAGTATGCCTGTTGCTACCATCTACCAGTTAACACACTACCATGTTTTCTTATCAGATTCTTCCCTGCTGCCTTTTAGGCCAAATTTCACTCTAGCAATGTACCCCTCTGTTAACTATTAAGCAAAGCAAAATAATTCAAAATAATTGGAGCAAAGACCAGATACTTTTTTAGGCAGAGTAGCCCTTTGCAGCTTTGAGGGTTCTTTAAAGTGAATGAAGTTCATTAAATGCATAGTCTCTCCAGGATTTTTCTTTACAGTACCTAAATTTTTGGTATCAACTTTATCCCTGAACTATATAAGTGAGATCTAGTACAAAATAAGCTGTTCTTTTAGATAGTATCAAGAGATCAAAAGGAAAGGCACAGTACATTCTAAAGCACCCAACCACCTGGAAAGTGTTTTGTAATTCATTAAGACATAGCAACTTGAAAACGACTCAGTCTGATAACGTCCTGTTGATGTGGAACCTCTAGAGCACACGCAGATGCAAAGTTCAATGGCTAGAGGCAGGCAGCTCTGAAGCTGTAATAAACAGTGCTATTCTCACCAGGGCTAACTCCACTCCACAATGATACCTGTTCTACATGCATGGCCAGAGACCACGTGTTAATTAGACCCATAGCAACTAATACTTAATACACTTATGAAGCTGATTTTTAAAATGTGAGTCTTTACTACGAGATTAAATCATTTAAATCAGCCTTGCTAATGACTCTTCTCGAGATCTCTCTTTAGTCATTCTGTAAGGCACATCAGCACCAAAAATTCTACCTGATCAATTATGCATCTTTTTGTCATGACCTCTCACAGCCACTCCACAGTCACCCCTAATTCTGTTTGCTTAAAACACCAAAATTATAGCCATGAAAAGCCCCGAGTCAGGTAAAACTGCATACTCTGAAAAGATCTGAAATTATCTGCAAAAATGCCATCTAATGACAAATAATCCTTAGAAGACTGACCTGCACACATTATTCAGGAACCAGCAGGAATTCTAAGAATGCACATCAACCCAGGGTAACTCAAAAAGCTTGAGAAGTCAATGTAACAAACTTAACTAAGGCTACATCTTTTCATCTATCCCTGAGAATAGTTCTTATCACGGGGAGAACATGGCGTAAGACGGAAAAGTCATCTCAAATCTAAGATTGCATTCTTAATAGTTACTGAAAAAAGCGGCAGATAAATGAGGCTGCCCTGGGCACCACTCATGCTGGAAAGAGCCTAGGGGATCCAGTCTCCCTGCACCTCTCAGCAGCCTCTCCTGCTCTTCTTCCCCTTCAGGCTGGTTGATCACCCTATGGCTGGAGGCAGAAGAGGGGAGGGGAAACCTAGGCATTGGTTGTTTGATGTATGGTGGTTTGTTCATGACTAATGTGTCAAGCTTTTAATTCAAACACTAGCAGTGAAAGAAAGCATGAATAATAAAAACACTTCTAGTTATTAATAACTGCTCTTAAGTCAAATCTATTAAACAAGATTGTGATGTGGTTTGCTAATGAACTCATTATCCATCTCAATCGTGGAAATAACCTATGACCAAAAAATAATACAAGTGACATTGAGACATTACCCAAGATATGAAGGAGGTTTGAGAGACCTTCATCTTTTCACACAGGGTACACTTTTGAGAGCTTTTCCATGATTTTTAAATTCAATTCAGAAATTAAAGAAATGGTAGCACTTTGTGAGTCCTTAGTCTGAAATAAAAAAGTATTTATTCATCTCTACAACAGCCAAAGCATTGACTTTTACTTTTCATGCCTACAACTTATGCAACAGCTACTTCTTTTAAATGCTTTATGTCAAAATTTTGAAGAAAGAAAAAAAAAAAAATCGAAAACACCCGCAGGCAAGTCTACTGATTTCTGGAGATCCTTACCTCCCACAAGCTCTGGGCTTACCTCAAGTCCTTCAGCTCATGCCTGGCACTGCTGTCCTCTCTCCTGTTTTCACTCAGATCCGCAGCAGCAGCCAGCTGAAGGCTCCGGGTGACTGGGCCCCCACTCCGTTCTCTAGATTTTACATTAAACCGGTCTGTTCTTTTCTTACTCGCCAGAGCAGACTTGCTTTGTAGAACAGCTTTGCTTTTCTGCACCCTCACATGCAGGGTACGGGACGGTTTGTTGCAGAGCTGAGGAGAATGATTCTTGGCCACAGCTTTGGGTTTTTTGCCCTCAACATGAGTAAGTTTGGCCATTCTTATTGGACTAGAGTTCCTCAAAGAGGAGGAACTTGGCTTTTTGGACTTGACCGAAGCTGCAAATTTGACATTCTGCTTGGACCTGAAGGATGAGGAGGGCAGTGGGACTTGTGCAGGGCCTGAGCTGCGGGCTCTGGTCTTACCCAAAGGTGCCTGTGTGTTCTGCATCTTAATCTCTGCGTCTGCGGTCCGTCTGCGGTGGTTGCTGCTATTGTTTTTGTCACTATTTGCAGATGATGGGTGGCCACCTTTCTTAGATGAGTGATAAACTTTTTTTTTGGAGGGAGAAAGGGGTTTTTTGGGACAGCTGAAAGCAGCATGTTTGTTCAGGCTGCCAATGTACGTGAACTCCCTGTTACAGTAAGGGCAGATGTGAGAAGACGACTCAGAAGCATTTTTCAAGTCAGCCTTCTGCTTCGCAGATTTGTTCTTCTGAAGGATTGCTTTCTGTACAAGCTGATTTTTTTTCTTCAGTGCATTTAATTTGAGCCTACCTGGTGCCATTTTGCTGAGCTCCACACTAAAGTCCAGTCTTTTGGGCGGCCCCATTCGTCTAAAGGCATTTTTCCCAGAACTGTCTAAAACCACCACTCCATTTTTGGGCTGCACAGTTTGTTTCAACGGTACCGGGTTTTTCTTAGGGGTGTACCTCTTCTTGTCACTTGCAGAAGCGCAGGCCAGGATATGCTTGTGTAACTCAGGCATGTTATCAACACCCTTTCCACATTTTGTGCAACGAATGGCCGTGGTGAAAGTCTGTGGGATATTGTGGGTAGTGAAATTTGTGGCTGTAACACCAATACCCATGGGGTTTCGGTGATGGTATTGAAATGGAGGTGGTTTAAAGCTTGGGTAATGCTGATTGAGACCCAACCGAACATCTGGATCCTTTGTCTTTATTCCAGAAGCCATTATTTTTATGGTTGTGTAAAGCTCTTCAGAGGAATCGTTCAATTCCTCCTCTTCTTTAGAGGTTTCCAAAGGGTCTTCTGGCAAGTCCTGCATATGTTCCATGTGGGCCTTGCTGGGGTCTGTAAAATTCTGGGGCCTTAGGGTCCCACTTTCAAACTCATGGTGTGTGCACACCTCATCTGGGTGGAGATCTCGCTGGTGTTGCTGTAAATTGCACAAGAAAGCAAATTCTTTTTTACATACTGAACACACAAAGATGTTCCCCACTCCATGAAGCAAAAACCGATGCTCTGATAAATCAGTTTTATCCTTAAAAAGCTGTACACAAAATTCACATTTGAAGGGCCATTCTTCAGCATGAATGGATAAATGTTTGGTTAGATCTTTAATGGAAAGAAAAGGGGATTCACAGACATTGCAAACAAAGTTTTTGCTAAATGTTTCCTGAACGACATCCTGTTCCACTTCAGCCTGGGACTCTTCCCTGGGTTTCAGAACTTCAGTCTCCAACTCCTCCTGTTTGAAAGTTATTGAGGGGAGAGAAGCCTCTAAGTTATCACCAGAGGAAACAACAGAAGACACTACCGAGAGAGGGGGTGGTGAAGGGGAGGAGGAGGAAGATGAAGAGAATGAAGAGGAAGAGGAAGAAGAAGAAGAGGAGGAGGAGGAAGAGGAGGAAGAAAGCGTTGGAGGCCCAGGTGAAGCAGCAGACAGGAGTGGCTCCACGGGAGGAATGGGAGAGGGTGAAGGGGACACTGTTGGAGAGAGAATTGGAAGTGGAGACTGAGCAGTGGCATTCGAGAATGGAGAGGGACATGGTTGAGGAGAGGCATCAGAAGTGGGGGCAGGAAGAGAGACAGTGGGAAGGAGGGGAGGAGGTGGAGTGGCAACAGTTAAAATAGGAGGACAGGGTGGAGGGGAAGAGGGATCCGTGGGAACCAAGAGAGGAGGAAGCTGTCTGGAAGACAGGGACGCTGTCTGCAGGGCAGGTGATGAAGGACAAACTTCAGGTGAGGACTCAACAGCAGGGGCAGAGAAACTAGAGTCAGGCCCAAGGTCAGGATCTGGCTGGGCATCTAAGGATTTACACGGACTTGGACTCCTGGTCACATCAAGAGTATTTTCTACAGGTAAATCAATGCCATTATATTCATTGAGAAGAACCTTCTGTAGCATGCAGGTGGTTGGTTTCTTTTTCTTTACAGCACTACAGGTTGGCTGTGCCGAATGATTTTCTTTGAATTCCTTGCCCTCGAGGTCACTACAAGGTTTTTTATGTACACTGAGATCTAACACAGATTCCCACTGGACTGGAGTCTTTCCTGTGCCCTCAGTCTTCTGTTTGACACCACTGGATAAATCCAGGGGCTGCTGGTTGCACACATTGCTAAAAGTAGGAGGGGCTGCCCATTCTTTTGAGATTTTATATTCATCAAAGCAAGGAGGGCTCCCACTTTCTCTCTCATCTCTCCCAGACAAACTCCACGCAGGCGAATCACTACGACTTTCCAACTTGGGTTTCTTGGAAGTCAGAACTGTGTCCGTCCATGCCACTTTCCCATCACTTGGCTTTCCAAAGTCTCGAAGGGCAGGGCTGTGCTGTGGAGAACTGGGTGGAGAGCTGGTCCGCCTCTTAAACCTACTGGAGGTCACTGGTAACATGGATGCAGGAGCGGACACGCATACGGGACCTAGCTTAGGAATCTCGGTTGCTGAAATCCCTGCAGGAGGAGTTAGCTTGTCCTGGGTTTGAAGAAGCTGTTTGAGCTTTGATGACAAATACACACTCTTCTCTTTATGGAAAGACACAGCCTCTGTTGTTGATATGCTAAGAGGCAGACTTACAGAAGATGAGGGGGCTGTGGGGTCAGAATCCATTTCAGCTTTAATTTTGGGGAGCACAGGTGGACTAGCAGTCCTCCGTTTCTTCGACTCACAGCTTGTGCCACTAGGAGGCTCCTTAGGAAGATCATCTGTTACAGGGACCTGAGTGGTCTTTATATTTTGAGTAATTTCCACTGTAACTGGAGTGAGCAGACAATTTATGCCATACAAATCTGCTGAGTTAGACTCCACCTCAATCACATCACAATTGCTAGTGCTGTTATTAGTCTGGATTTTACCATCAATGTAGTAATTTAAGTTTTCAGAGATATTGCTAGAAATGTCCATGATATACACATCATCAGCTTCTCCTTCCTCCTCTGGCTCTGTGCTTGGTAAATAGACATTTTGGGAGGGTGGGGCCTGCTCTGCCAGTGGCTGTGGCTCCTCAAGAAGGCCTCCTTTTCGCCGGACACCTTTGGGGATCAGGTGGCGTTCGTGAACTCTGCGTTGATGCCGTCTCATATTAGTATGAGTTCCAAAAACCTTTTTACAGTATTTGCATGGATGAAGTTCTTTAACTTCCCCATTCTCTTCTACAACAGACGAATTTACTATCTCTTGGGAAGCTTTCTCCAAGTTCGAGATCAGAGAATCTTGCCCAAGCTGGGGAGGATTCGATTCATCTTTAGGAGGAACATTTTCTCCAGAAGGCTTGCCATCAGCTAGATCCTCTGATGGCTGTACTGTCAGGCTGGGTTTTCGCTTCAGCCCTGCTTCATGGCGACGCTCATGCCGCCTCCTGTTAATCTGAGTGCCAAATGCTTTCCCGCAATACTTGCACTTGAAAGCATGATTGACTGTGGACATGTGGATATGCATGTGACGTTCGAGTCCCTGCTTGGTTGTAAACTTCCTTTCACAATGCTGACATGGAAACATAAATGTTTCAAAGACATCACCATTGGCCTCCTCTTTAGGTCTGGGGATTTTGATAAAAGGTATCACTTCGGCAGAGTCTTCAGGAGTGTCTTTTGAAAGGCTTTTTGGTTCTTCTAATAAATCTTCTGGCTTCTCATCACACCGTATTTCTGGCTCTTTCACAGAGCTTTCATTCAGCATGTCAGCTTCTTCCTCCCCCTCTTCTTCCAACTCATCTTCATCTTCTTCTTCCTCATCCTCCTCTTCTTCTTCCTCCAGATCATTGACCTCACAATCAGTGGCTTCTTGTTTCCCATCCGGCTCTGGCTGTGGCTCACAGGCAGGGGGAGGGATGACCAGCTCCGGACATTCATCCTGGCTGATCACCTCCTGGATAAGAGCTGGCTGCTCAGGCACTGAAGCCAAAGGCCTTTCTTCCTCTTCTTTAGGACCTAGAAGGTACAGAAAAGCAGAAGCACAGAGGTGAGGGCAAAACTAGCCACTATGATCAATTCCTATGATTTTAGCTATTTCTCTTATTCACCTAAAATGCATAAGGGAAAGTATGATTAGTAATAACTTCTACATTATACATTCATTTATAAAGTTGAACGAGACAGGAATCCATTTCATGCACACATTCAACAAATATTTGTAGAGCACCTATTTTGTACCAGGCAATATGCTGGACACACAACAGACAAGAACACCAACATACTAGATTCTTTTCTGTGTTTAGACATACATACATACATCTTTCTTTACAGAAATTATTGTGCTTACAACTGTGTTGGAATAGCCCACATTATTATAGTTGTAAGTTCTAATTTTCATGATTGAAGGAAATTGCTAGACACTATGTTAGATTCTTGATAGTGTGATAGAGCAGATGATCTTCTCCCTCCTTCCTGACTAAAACTATGTATTTAGGAACTAGGCCTCTCTCTAGAATGATGTAATCAGAAGTTCTTCAAGTCAAAAAAATGTGGATCAAATTATTAAGAACTCAGGAATGCCTCATTCAAGGAAGCAGAAACCTCAAGTCACTCTGGAATCTATATGCCCAGTCCTACATGGGGTAGAGAGAAGGAGGATTCACTTGTAAGATGACAACTTAGCAGAGACCTAAAGAAAATAAGCCATGCAAATACCCAGAGAAGAGAAATCCTCTGGACAGAGGAAACAGGCAAATATATAAGCTCTAAGTCAAAAGGATGCTAGACAGAAAACCAGAGGGTAACTAGGGACCTGCAAATACAAGACATAATAGGTTGCTGGCCTTTGCCCTGAGTCATCAGGGAACCACCAGAAGGTTCTAACAGAGAAATGATACGATTTGACTTATATTCATGGGTTGCTGTAAGTAAGACAGACAACCTAGGTAGACCAGGGAGGCAGGTGGACAAGAGAAGCTCTTTGCATGCTCAAGAAGAAGGGCAGGATGGTAACAGAGCACAGGAAGGTGGTAGGAAGTAGTCCAACTCTGGATATCTATTTTAGAAATGAAGCTGACAAAAAGTGCTTTGTTGATTGGCAGTGGTGAATGGAGCCAAAGGACTACACTAAACTATACTAAATCCCATTTACCAAATCATAGAAGACTATAGGAAAAGCAGGTATAGTCAATGTACATGCGTACATGGGGGGATGGGAGAGGGGAATCAGTCTACTTTGAATGTGCTCAAGTTTGAAGTATACAATATAGGTTCCACAGTAAAAATATTAAGAGAATAGTTTCATACAATTTCATTGAGTCTGGAGTTCAATGAGGTGGCTGAGCCTATCAATGTGCAAGTCCTCAGAGAAGAGAAGGTGGCTGGAGTAACAGACTGGATGAAGTCACCTGGAAAGCAGATATAGACTGAAGAGAAGACTACATCCCAGATGATCCCAGTACAGAAAGTGTTGGGAATGGCCAGTAAGGGAGGTGTCTGGGGAATCAACCTATGGCTTATGCCAAGTGGCCTGCGGCAAAAAGAGAATGATCAGCTGAGTCCAGAACTGCAGTGGGCTGGGTGAAATGAGACAGTCCATTTACCAAGGTGGAGGTCTAGTGACCGACAACAGCCAAAGCAGATAAATGCTTAATGGAATTCATGAGAAAATGGAAGGATGACAAAGAGACAGAATGATTGCAAGCAACTCTGTCAGGAGCTCTGTAAAAGAAGAGAGAAATGGGCTAGTGGTTGGGAGGAAACACAGCAGACAGCAGGAGACTCTTCAAGATGGGAGGTCTAATAGCAGGTTGAATGCTGGTGGGGATGGCCCACAGTGTGCCACCTGCTACACTGTTGAGTTATATCCCTTCTCTTATGGGCAACTGAAGAGTTAAGTAAAGCTCTGCAGAGGAGCCACAGCTATGACAACTTCTCCAGGCCAAGTAAAGTAGCTGCTCCCTCAATCATCTGAAAGATATTACTAAACACATCCTGTAGCCAGCACTAGATTAGTAAGCAAGACTGTTGAGATCCTTACCCTTACTTCCCAAATATAAAAGTAGATAAATCATAAGCATATAGAAAGATTAAATGTATACTTTGTAAAAAAGTCCCCAACTCTGTTCACTCTGCCAGAAGCTACACACAAGTAGCAGGCACCTATAATTAATGGTCTGGTACGCATGGTACAGAGCACACGAGAGGCTCAGCTGATGCAGCTGGACTAATCAACAAAGGCTTCTTAGAGATAGCATGAAGCAGGCTGAGCCCAAAGGGTGTAAGAATCAAGGACGAAGGAGGAAAAGTGCAAACTTTTAACAATGGCATCCATTAAGATATTTTAAAGCAGAAGAGTGGCATTTGGGAGATTTGGCTGTATGTCAAGCGACAGGGAGAATAACAATTGCTGAGACACAGAGACCAAGAATGACACAGTAGTAGATAAAGAGATGAGATTCAAGAGAGAGAATAAAAAGTAGTCAGGCTGTCACTATCAAAGAGGCTACAGACAGACATTGGGACCACCTAGCCAGGAAAAAAAGGCCAACTGCTGCAAGCTCTGCAAATGCAAGGTATGAAAACAAGCTCAATTACTCAGTCCCAGCCCTCTTGCTATTTCCTAGGAATATGGGCCCTGCTTTTTCCATCTGCTACATTTACTAGCAATGAGGTAGCAATGAAGATTCTAAATAGAAACAGCCTTCTCTCCCCTAGACAAATTTCAAAATTTCTATGGGCTTTCAATAAATTGGGAAACCCATCATTCAATGGTGGAAATATTTCAAATTTCCTCTCTTCTCAAACATATTGTCAACAAAGATTCAATTGTTGCCCAAAATGTCAAAATGACAACAGAAAATGTACTTCTAAGGCTGAGAAATTTCTTTCTGCAGTTCATTTTCTGGCACAACCTGTGGCTTCTTTCAATTAAAAAAAAAATTTTCCCTATGATTGGTAAACAATCCACTTTAAAACTGTCCAAAGTAAAATGAACCTGAATGACTAGTGAGGCCCACACCAAGGTATGCCCACACACTTGAAATGATCTGCTGAGTTTTAAACAAATGGATATACAGGAAACACAAAGAAGAGCCAGAACTGTTTGCTCATTCTATAGACCATTTCCTGACGACAATGCACAACATCCAGGGAGGTCTACAACTACAATGTACAGAACCTACTCTGAGCAGCAGTATCAAATACCAGATGGTATCAACTGTCTGTTTTAACAGAAAATGGCACAGCAGGAAACAAAACAAAACAAAAAAAAACACTTAAATTACTGAAGAAAGAGAGAGACCTATTGAATTTTTAAATTTCACCACCAAAAGTAATAAATCCTTTAAGTAATTTTTGTATTGCTCTCAGGAGGCAGAGCTTAAGATTTACAAGACTCTGAGAAATGAACCCTGTCTCATCTATTTTATGTCTTCTTTTGTCAACATAGGTACTTATGTTTTCACTGATGTAAAAAACACAAAGGAAGGTATGGGAAGACAGGTGGGATAATCTCTGCTCTCTCCAACCAATTCCTTTTGTCTTATATCACAATGACCTCCTCCCACCTGGCTCCCTAGTCCACAGGGGGTCATCTGCACTTTGATACCAATGAACTTACCTATTCTTGCTTCATGAAAGGGCACAGAAAATTAGAATTCTTTCTGAATGTCACAATCACAAACAGTGCTAATAAAATGGTTCTAAAAGGCATCCAAAATATTCTTTTTTCCTCGTACTAGGGCTTAAACCCAGGCAGACACCTTGAGCCACTCCACCAGCCCTTTTTTGGAATGGGTTTTTCAAGACAGGGTCTCACTATTTGCCAGGGTAGCTTCAAACTGCAATCCTCCTGATCTCTGCCTCCTGAGTAGCTAGGATTACAGATGTGAGCCACAGGCACCCGGCTCGAAATATTTTATTGGGGTTTAGCTCTCTACAAATATTTCTTCAGAGTCACAAACCTATATTCTGATAAATTTTCCTGTTTGTGTTATTATGAACGACTCTTAAGCAAGCTCCAGACTGTGCATAAATCTGTCCCTAACAAATTGAGACACACCTCACTCAATTCTACACCAACAGTTTCAATATGCTGGCTCAACTGCAATGAGCAGGTTATCTCTGATTAACTTTCAATCCCTACTCTCTGTGAATTCTTACATTATGAAGGGCCTAGAATGAGAAGAAAATAGTAAAGAGACAGAGATAAAACAGGAATTTAAATTTTAACAAAAGCAAACACTTTTCATCCTATTATACAAAAATCAAAGGTGCTTGGTATTTTTAATTAATGTTTAATTGAAAACATACGTTTATTAAGCTGGCAGACTGGCTCAAGTGGTACAGCACCTGCCTAGCAAGCATGAGGCCCTGAGTTCAAATCCCAGTGCCACCAAAAATAATAGAAAACATACATTCATTAAAGTGAATAAATCATAAAGTATATAGCAAGATACAATTTTTTTATACAAAATAAATATGCCCATATAACCATACCAGCAGCAGAACACTGCTAGTATCCCAGAAGCCTCCTCATGTCCCCTGCTAATCTGGATTCTATTACCATAGATTTTTTTTTTTGATAGCTTTGAACTTTAAATTCTCTATAAATATAACTCTATATTGCTATAGTATGTCTCATTTTATTTTAGCAAGAGAATAATTTCATGTTTACCAATGAAACTCTTGAGTCATAATTTGAAGGGAACATAAGATGTGGAAGGTTTGGTTCACCATATTATATTTAGGCAGCTTTTTTGCTGTTTGATCACTACACAGTTCTTAGATGAACTGGGAATACATACCCAAATCAGACAAGTCCAATGTCACAAGCTTACCTTCCTCAGAATCTCTCATATTTGCAGAGGTGCAATCTGGCTCACTTGTGTTCAGCTGTATGTCTAGGGCTTTGTTTCCTTTGTTTTTATTTTCCTGGGATTTTTTCTTCCCTGCAACACAATATTTATTTATTTACTCATTCATTCACTACCACTCTGAATTCTGGAAGGAAACAATTAACAACCCAATCACAGTACATTTATTTCCAGGCAATTACCACTCTGTATTCCAAAAGAAACGAATGGATGGTGAATGCAAATACTTTTAAGTCATGTCAGAGGGGGAAAAATATCCTGTATTTTCAGACTCTTGGGCAATACGTTCCTTCATAGCTGTAAGTTAATAGTACCACACAAGTAAAAGGAACATAAGTATGTGAGAGACAAACAATGCACTATATAACATGGTGCCATTCTGGTTAAGACATGATTATTTCTAATTGTCAAGATAACAAAAGGAGCAAAGGTTCTGCTAAATTACAGGGGATACACATGCACAGTGGCCCAAATATCAAATGCAGAATAATTACAAATAAATCATGTGAGTCAGCAGTTCCCTCAGAGGGTCCAGCACAGTTCAGTATCTCATTAATGATGCAGGGGATGAAGTTCAGGAAATACTAACTGCATTCCAAGTGATCCCATAGTACATAAGGTAAGATTAAAATGCAACATCTTGCTGAGAAGCAGGAAGTCCCATGAGAACCCAGTAAAAATACAGGATCAGAAGCTTGATCTCTAGGACTGACCCAGAACCAGTACCCCTCTCCCAGTTCTTAATTGCCAAATCTCTTTTTCCTGATATCTGGTGTTACTCAGTCTTTAGGTCTCTTTCTACACTACTCTCCCTAGACAGGTCCCTAAAGTCCCCAGAGCTGCCCTACCTCTTCTGGAACAAGCTTACCACCACCTTTATCTTAGCATTAGCAAAATGAAAAACAAGAAACCTCTCATAGCTTCTGGAATGCAAGGAAAATTATATTCTCCATAACAGATAATTACTAGAGGAGCGTAATTAGTTAAATGTAGACAACAGATGAAAATCAGACACACAACATAGCATCATTGAAAAGGTAATCGGGATTGTAAGTAGAGAAGTCTAATACACAATACTAATCCTTAAAAAAACAGATTTTTATAAAACTTTAAAAGACCTAACAAGGGGGAAGAGTATGAAGCAGTCATTTAGACTGTTAGTCTTAAAGGACAAATTCTAAAATACTAAGTGTCTAATTCTTCAGAACTGTTTTATTTCTTTGGACACCAGGCACACACACTTCACTGGAACTACATTCTGGTGCACATGGGAAGTCAAAGGGCAGAGTACAATGGATATGGCTGATTCATGTCTCCAGGTAAAACGTTATAAACTAATCCACTCTGCAAGAGGCATAACATAGCCGGGTGCCAGTGGCTCACACCTGTAATCTCAGCTACTCAGGAGAGGGAGATCAGGAGGATCACAGTTTGAAGCCAGCCTGGCAAGTAGTACATGAGATCCTATCTTGAAAAAAAAATCCATCAAAAAAGGGCTGGTGTAGTGGCTCAAGGTGAAGACCCTGAGTTCAAGCCCCAGTACTGCAAAAAAAAAAAAAAAAAGCATAACATATGCTTTTCCACATGGATAATCTCTTGGGATTCTTTCTCCCTTTGTCAACCTAACAGCACTAAGCCTAAATCTGATGGCAAGGAAGAATCTTGAGGGATTCAGTTGTTTAAAAGAATCTCAATTCCCTCTCCTTCGAACCAGTTTTCTTGTCCCTAGTATGACATATACCCTTCCTGTGTGTGATGCTAAGTCTATATCTGATTACTGATTCAGAGCAAAATGTGTTGCCCACACAAATGCAAATATAAATGACTATCTGTCTACACAGCATGACCTAACTGCTCTAGTGATGTGGTTGATGTCTGAGGAAATCCACAGCTTCATTACCATGTGAAGAGCCAATGCACAGCCTGCTCCATTCAAAAGGTGGACTCAGAGATGTTTTTCCCTGAATCATAAACCACAAAGATCTTATAACACATCAGTACCACCTCATGTCCCTTAAGCATGCCAAGGAGTGTAACCATTTCCTACTAGCCACTTACTTCCTACTCAGTATGAGGTTTTAAATAAATTAATGTCTAGTCTGAACCAGATACCTCTATGCATAAACCTTACATATTTTTTAAAGATCCATACAGTAATATTTAATAAAAGAACATGTGTCAATTTGTTGTACCACAATCCCTTGAAGAAGCAATTAGAAGATTTCCCGCAGCCTCAAGTGTTTTTACAAAACCCAGGTATAAGTTCAGAGGAAAAAGCAAATAACACTAACCCATATGTAAATATAGTATTAAATAAGAGAAATTTGTAGACTTCTACTATAATAAAACAAAGTGCCATCCATTAAGATTTGTAAACCATTAAGATTTGTAAATGTAATTGCCTAACTATTTAAAAGGTAAAGTGTTATTTTACATTTTATTTCCTACCTACAAGAACACTAGAAGAACTAACTACTACCAAGTATCAACATTCAGTGTTTGGACTCTAAAAGCTTATCAGTGGGAAGTTCCTTTTCTGCCCTCCCCCAGTATCACTTTAAAAGTTATCACCATGGAAACATAACCCACTGTGAGAAGCCACTTGCAGGAGGAACTCTGGTAACCCTGTATTCAGAGGACTAACGAGTACCCTACCACAGATGGCTACATAAATGGCATTTGGGGGGTCAGAAAACTCTGTTTTGGGGGGAGAGAGGAAGGAGGGGATTGGCTCATCAGGGGATATTTTGCAGAAACTGTGGCATCTATCCACCAGGTACCAGCAGCACCATCGCCACTTGGGGTTATTTCCCCAAGTCTTAAGACATAGCCAAATGTCCCTTGGAGAAGAACGCCACTCAGGTTAAGAGCTACTAGGCCACAGCAATATACTTTATTTTGGAATCACTGAAAACAAGACTCTGTGGTCTATGTATTTTTTATAAATTACAGTTAAGTACCTGAATTACACTAACAAACCAATTCTAAAAATGAAGGAATGAAACAATTATTTTTATCACCACAGTCATTTGGTGAACGACAGTGTAGGAGGGATAGGAGTCTAGCATGGCCATCATTTATGAAGTTGAGATTACCTGACATCACACAATTTTCTCAATCAGAACCATCCATCAAACTACTTCCCATTAGAGCCTCTAACTAGGGATGAAGGAGCAATCAGAACTACCTGCCCTATCTGCTATTTTGTGGGACACACCGAAGGCTGGAGCCAGAAGCATGAATCAGTTTATGACAGAACAGAAGTTAGAACAAGAGGGTGCTGTTCACATTCACACATGTCTAGTATTACTTCAAATAGCTCAAGGACAAATGGAAGAACCTGAAACATTTCCTAAATCAGTAAAGTTCTTTCCTGATACTTGATTTCTGCTCTCTGTGTGATCACGTAAAAAGAAAAAACAAAACAAACCTATCAGGACTTTTACAAGGAGGATAGAGGACTTGTCAGTTTCTATCTGCAAGGCAAGAGGTACCACTGGGCACCTGGCAAGTACACAAGTGCACTTACCATTGGGGTCCTGCAGGGTCCTACATGGCGCTGCCAGCTGGCTGCTCCACTTCGTCTAGACAAGAAAGATACAGGAATGAAACACAAAGAAAGTGAAATGGAAATGATCACAAAGAACAGCCTGAAGGACAAGACAAAACTTTATAAAAGGAAATGAAATGCACACATAAAGATGAAAAAAGTAAAACAGAAGGAAGATAGCAGTTATCTACTGCATCAAGGCTCTCACACACAAAGCAATTTCTGTGTACTTAATTGCTGATGCTAGACCAATGTAGTATATTCATCCTCAGGCTGTACAGCACCTATGTTGTAACCTGATCCCCACAGCACTTACACACCATTCTGCTACAAGATCCCAAAGTCCATCTCCTTTCACAGAGGAGACAATGACAGACCAGAGAAGGGCAATACCTAAGAGCCACAATTAAAACTCAAAGATTGCCAGCAGCCAGTGGCTCATGCTTGTAATCCTAGCTACGAGGAGACAAGAGATTAGGAGGATCACAGTTCAAAGCCAACCCAGGCAAACTGTTTGTGAGACCCTATCAGGAAAAACCCCATCACAAAAAACGGGCTGGTAGAGTGGCTCAAGGTGTAGGCCCTCAGTTCAAACCCCAGTACCACAAAATATATCAATAAATCTATCAATAAATAAATAAAACTCAAAGATGATACATAATGCTAAAAGTGCTCTTTCCCCTACAATACCTTATTCTTTACAAAACACTTTACATTCATTATTTCACTTGGCAAATGAAGTAAGTTATAAAGCCAGGTATGGTGAGGCACCCCTATAATCCTGGCTACTTGTGAGGTAAAGATGGGGAGGGTGGCAGTTCAAGGCCAGTCTGAGCAAAAGTTAGCAAGACTCATCTTAGCCAACAAGCAGGGCATGGACCTGTAATTCCATTCAGGGGAAGCATAAGTAGGAGGGTTGGGCTCTGAGACCAGCTCTGGGCAAAATCACAGGACCCCATCTGAAAGATAACTAAAATAAAAATGGGCTGGAGGCACAACTCAAATGATAAAGAGTGCATATCCCTGAGTTTAAACCCTACTACTGTCAAAAATAAAGAAGATGGTGGAGTGAGTGGTTCAAGTGGTAGAGTAGCTGCTTATCAAGTGTGAGGCCCTGAGTTCAAAGACCTAGTACTGCCAAAATGTTAAATAAAGTTATACAAAGACTTTTACAGCATTTATAGTAAAGGAATGAAAATCAAATTGCAAAGCAACTTTTTTCCATTTCAGTTTTGTCTTATGCCAGAAACAAGTATCAGTCAACAGCATGGGGGCTGGAGTGGCTCAAGTAGTAGAGTGCCTGCGTAGCAAGTGCAAGGTCCTGAGTTCAAACCCCAGTACCACCACCACCACCACCAAAAACAAATACAACAACAATAAAAAGAAACCCTTAGTCAACAGCATGGAACCCTGATCTAAACAAGTTTGACTCACCACTAAACAGCATCATTTGAAACAAGATTTTCTAGTGAAACAGCTGCTATAGGAAGACATTCAGCAGCCGTAATGACTACTTTCTTAGACA